CCCCATCAGCCCGGCCCCCTGGAGCTGGACCGCCAGCAGGGGCGGGGCTCGGCGCTGGGACCTTGGGGCGCTGGGCCGCGGACTGCCATGCTTCTGTTACAGGAAGGGCTGGGGTCTGAGCAACAGAAGGGCCCCCAGATCGACGGTGTTAAAGTCAAGAAGGGTCCTCTGGGGACATGGGGAGAGAAAAGCCTCAAGGGTGGGAGTGGGAGGCAAGGCCACTATACCCTGTCCTGACGCCGCCTGGGAATACAAGGAGGAAATTCCGTATTGGAGTCTGAGGCTCTGTTAGGCATGACCCGCCTCTCCCAGCCCTGGGAATCGCCTCCCGTGGAGCGGGGTGCACTCGATGGCGGTTCTTTAGTCCTGGATTCTGCTGAGTCACAGTGACTTAGAACTTGAAGGCCTGAAAGGGACGGGGAGACTTGCAACATGTGTTTCTTTGCAGGGCTCAGATTCTGCACTTGGGGGTTCAGAACACACTTCCCTGTGCCCCTCATGGCTGAGGTGAGGGGAACTCGTTTTTTGCCTCCCCTGAGCTAAGGCAAGGCTGGTCCTGGAACAGCAGTAATGACGCTTTTTTTCATATTCTTTTTTTTTCTTTTTTTTTTTTTTGAGAGATTTTTGCTGTAGAGCATGTGTGCCCACCCGAAAGACAGCGACAGAAAGCGAGAAATCGCCCCCGGGGACGATGACCATGCTACAATTCCTTCTCCTTTCTTCTCTGGGGATCTTGGGCACATACGCCCACCCACACACGCCCAGGGTGAATTTAAGTCACTGGTCAGAGACTCCAACCGCAGTCGACTACATGGGAATCCAGCAACATAGCCATTGCCATCTGCTTGTCCCTAGGGGCCCTTTTTAATAACTGCCCAGATTAAAGTGTAGCGGTTCTACACAAAGGCTTACTGAAGTGGACAGAACAGAGCAGAACGTTTTAAATCTCTCTTTAAAAAAGTTAAACTAGGGGCTGGCAGGTGGCATGGTAGTTAAGGGTGCTGACTGCCAGATGGCTGACGGCAGTGTGAATCCCAATCCCGGACATGGTGGCTTGATTTCTCTCTCTCTCACTCTCTCACTCGCTGGTCGAATTGAAATAAATACATAAATTGGGACCAGCAGGTGGCATGGTGGTTAAGGTACTGGCTGACCACAGTTCGAGTCCCAGACTTGGCGGCTTCCTTTCTTCCTTTCTCTCTCTCTCTCTCTCTCTCTCTGTCTCTTTGGTCAAGTTGGAATAAATGAATGAATAAATAAAATTAAATAATAATTTAAAAAATAAATAAATAAATACATAAATAAATGTTTACAAAGTTAAACTATAGTAAAAAGGTGGAGAGAAAAAATAAAACTTTAAAAACAATAAGCAACCATCAGAAGGAAAAGGGAGGTGGGAAGTATACAGAGGAAGCAAAATTGAAGGCTATCCCAGAAAACTCAGGAATAAAGATAACACTTTAACTCAGAATTTCTTAAGTCAAAAAGGATGCAAGCAAGTCTTGATGGATAGAATATTAAAATGTCATATAAAGGCAGTCTCTAACAGTACCAAGTCATATTGGGCCTAAGACAACAGGAGAAATCAGTAAAACTGATCCTGTCTTTAATACATTGATATTTCGGGGACCAGCAGTTGGCGTAATGGCTATGTTGCTGGACTCCCACGTAGTCGACTGCAGTTCGAGTCCCGGACCCGGTGGCTTAAAACTCACGCTGGGCGCGTGTGCGTGCGTGCCCTAGATCCCAAGAGGAGAATGGAGGAGAAGGGATTTCTCGCTTTCTGTCTCTCTGTCTGTCTGTCTGGCAAGCGCACACGCCCTATAGCAAAAACCTCTCAAAAAAAAAAAAAAAAAACATTGATATTTCGTCTCTCCACACTTTTTCCTTCATTAATACTGATTATTTCAAGTGTTGCCGTAAGGGTCAGCCTGTAGCTTGTGCTTAAGAGAGCTGGAACCCACATGGCCCACACACTGGAGGCCGGGACTGGGTGGCTTGAGAAACACTCAGTGCTTATGTGCGCACAAGCCCGAAATCCCGAAAGGAGGGGGAGGTGGAGGGATTGCGGCACCACCATTCCCCACGGGAGTGCTTTCGCTCTCTCTTTCTCTTTCACTACGGCAAGTGCACAGCTCTCTGGCAAATTATAAAAATATAAAAATAATAGGGGGCTGGGACAAGCAAGTGGCGTAATGGTTACATCGCTGGACTCCCATGCAGTGGTTTCCTAGGAAAGGAGGAGAGGAGAGTAAGTGTGCTGATACACTGCATATCTGGTTGTTTAACTGTCTATGGAATTCTTGGCTGAAAATTGTCCTTTGGAGCCAGCAGGAGGTGTGGTGGCAAAGGTGCTGGACTCCCACATGGTCAACTATGGTTTAAGTCCTGAACCCAGCAGCCTAAAACTAACACCGGGTGCCTGTGCGTGTGTGTCCAAGATCCCAAGACTAGAGGAGAAGGGACTGCGGCGTGGCCATCCCCCTCACCCCCCTGGTGTGTGTGTGTGTGTGATTTCTCGCTTTCTGTCTCTGTCTGTCCTGCCAGTGCATGCACCCTATAGCAAAAAAAAAAAAAAACCTCTCAAAAAAACAAAAAGTCCCTTGGAGGCAGCAGGTGGTATAGTGGTTAAGGTGCTGGACTCCCACATGACCAACCATAGTTCTAGTCCCAGACCTGGCAGCTTGAAATTCTTGCTGGGCATGAGAAGAGAATGGAAGAGAAGGGATTGTGGTGTGGCCATCACTCCTGGGAGATAATTTAACAACCTAATAATTTTAACTTTTATATTTAGGTCTATGATTCACTTTGTGGTAATTTTTTTTTTCTATAGGGCACAGGCTCTTGCCAAAAAGACAGACAGAAAGAGAAGATAGAAAGTGAGAAATACCCCCCCTCCAGGGGGGATGGCCACGCCACAATCCCTTCTCCTCCATTCTCCTCTCAGGATATTGGGCACGTACGCACATGCACCCCGTGTGAGTTCAAGCCACCAGATCTGGGACTCAAACCACAGTCGACTACATGAGAGTCCAGTGACATAGCCATTACACCCAATCGCTGGTCCCTACTTTGTGGTAATTTTTATGTATATGATGTGAGGTTGGGCATAAACCTTCCATTTTATAGGCAGGAAAACAGAGGCACCAAGTGGGTATGTAACTTGCCCATGGTTTATCTAGTCAATGGTATAGTCCCAAATTTGAACCTAGACCACTGGGTTCAAAGTCCGCTCCCGGAGCCAGCATGTGGCATAGTGAAGGCGCTGGTCTCCCGCATGGCTGACCATGGTGTAAGTCCCAGATCCAGCAGCCTGAAAATCACATGAGACGTGTAAATCTGTGTTCCAAAAATCCTGAAAAGACAAGGAGAAGGAGACTGTGGTGTGGCCCTCCCACTGGGGGGAGGGCAGGGGCAGTGATTTCTCACTTTCCCTCTTACTCTGTGTCTCTCTGGGACTCGAACTTGGGAGTCGAGCTCCCCCAACCACCATGCCACCTGCCAGCCCCTCCCAGGGGCTTTTCTGAAGCAGGCCTCTGTCCCAAAGTGTGCATGTACCAGGCATCAAGGAATGACTAAGAAGAGTGTCCTCAAGCCCCCCTTCCTGCCAACCACATCCCCAGGGAGCAGGCCGGGACAGTGGAGCTGTAGGAAGCTTTGTTGATTGTCTTCATTATCTAGAAATAAAAAGCAGGGGTAGGAGAATCCCCAGGAGTGCCCCCAACTCTCCTCCTGATGGAGGAACACAAACAGCCTCATTAGTCACCTGCTGATGCTGGCGTTTGCATGTGTGGCTGCTGCTTTGCATGAGAAGTCCCCAAAGCCCCCTTGCTTGTCTCTGAGCTGCTGCTCATGGACTTTGTACATTAGCTCTGAGCCATTCTTGGGCCTGCCTGGGGACCAAGGCAGTGAGGTATCTGTTGTCCTCCGTGGTTCCTGTGGATACCAGACAGGTGTCCCTGGAGGGAACAGGCCCTTGGTATGAAGGGACAAAAGATTCTTCCACTGTAAGCCCTGGGCCTTCCTGCCCTCCTGGCTCAGTGCCACTGTCACTCCTACGGAGGACACACCTCATTATGTCTGACCTGCTGTGTTCGGGTGTGTCCTGCTGGGGTACCGGCACGTTATGAATTGCCTGAATTATCTCACCCTCTCCTGGACTTTGAACACCCTGGTGAAGCTGAAACTTCTCTCTCTCTCTCTTTTTTTTTTTTTTTCCCAGAGATGTTTTGTTATAAGGCACGTGTGCTCACTGGAGAGACAGAACGTGAGAAATCACCCCCCGCCAGGGAGGATGACCATGCCACAATCCCTTCTCCATTCTCCTCTTGGGATTTTTGGGCACACACACACATGTGCCTGGAGTGAGTTTTAAGCCTCCA